GTCTAGAATCATTTTAGACAACTGCCCTTCTGTTAATCCGTCAGCATCTCAGGAAATAAGAATATATTTGATTGGATTGAAGCTTTAAAATGTTAATTACATTTCTGTCCTGGGGATACAGACTAAAGAGACAGAATTGCTTTGCTTAAGACTGGAGACTTTGATCTTCGCAGATGCATAGGCGGTTAAGGGTCTCTCAACCAATTAGGATGAGCAGAATCCTTCTGGCCTTGGGTGGCTCATCTTCATTGTCTCCCAGCTTTGGGACTGCTTCTCTCCTGGGTGAGAGGGCTGCTCATTTGGTTTAGGTTTTCTCCAGAGTTCTTCGTTTGCAAGCAGCCAGTAAAGGTGATTCTGCCGGAGCTTCTCTCTCCTGGAGGAAGCCAGGCTCTGAACCAAAAGGAAGACTCAGGCCTCCAGTGATAACAACTTCAAGGACCAAAAATATCCTATCTTCTCCAGTATTATTCTGTCCAATACCACATCATATTCTTTTTCCCCCAAAAAACCAAACTAACCCACTTTTCTCCTACTGACATCTATGTCTTTGCAGTTAATTAATAGTTTAAAATGCTACTAAGCCTTTTAGGATCTCTTTGCAAGAGTCAGTCCCTCTGACTTTACCAGCATTTTTATCTTACTGGTTGTGTATTAAATAATAAAATAATTAATAGTGAGGCCATTCAACTGAGTTAACTTCAGAGTCTAAGGACATATTATGAACAACTTTATGTCCATGAATTAAACAGCATAGCTGAAATGCACAAATTCCTTTGGACACTGAAACCTAACTTGGTTTAATGGGATGAAGGCACTGGGAATTGAACTCAGGGCCTCACGCATGCTAAGCATTCACTCTACCACCGAGCTACACTCCTAGACACCAGACCCCATTCGACGCAACTAGTGAAATGAAACTTAAGCTTCATCAGCTCAAAACTAACTTTTTTTAATAAATAATTTTTATGTTTTTATTAATTTTATTGAGAAACTAATAGCAATGAGACAGTTTCAAAACAGATTAGCAGGACAGTTTCAATAATTAATATATTTCATATTGTTGTCTTCATAGTGGTTATTCATAGTACAAGATGCAGACATGATATCCTGTCCACAAACACTATTAGAACAAATCTTCCTATTCATTGGATTAAGAGAAAGTAGCTGTATATCTATCCTATTTTGTTAGGATAGATACAGATACAAAATGGTCCTTCATTTGTATCACCTTCTTTTGTTTAGTTTTGTCAGAGATGGGTATTCCATTGTCATTTAAATATTGTAGGTGCATAAATTCAGCAAAATAATCCAATATAGTCCAGTAGCCCATAATAGTAGTGGGTTATCCGTAAGACTGGCAATGTCAGAAGTTGTTGACTTGAGCCTTTTACAGCTCAGCATATAATTTTCTACATTAATCAAATACAGACAGCCTTCAATAGCCTTGTGTTTTTTGTCCATAAATTCAACAACTTCTGATAAAAATATTCTCTAAAACTGCATCAGTTCTGAACACATACAAACATTCTGTCTCGCTCTTATTTCCTTAAAAAATACAGCAGGACAACTATTTCCTTAGCCCCTGCATTATATGAGGTACTAGAAGCAGCCTAGAGAAGATTTAATGTAGACAAGTGAATGTGCAAGGTTACATGTAAATATTTCTGCATTTTATATGAAGGACCTGAGCAGCCACACATCTGATATTTGCTGCGAGTCCTAGAATCAGTCTCCAGATACCGAGGAATGACTGTTTCCCTTCTGTCTACGCCTTATAAAATTCCCTCTCCTGCCCTCAACCACTGGAGCGCTGAACCTCTAGCAGCCTGGTTATGCCCTATTTGGGAACTCCTAGGCTCACATAAACTCATTAAAAATGTGCTGGGCCTATCTATAATGTGCCTACCCTTAAACATTTCATACATGTATCTAGATTCGCTATATTCTTTATGTCTATAAAACATAAACAAATAGCACTAATTAAATAAGAAGGTGTTTTGCTGTACAAGATATTAAAATATATTTTAATTTTAAACTATGGCTTAAATATAGAAACACTAACACAAAGTAACTTTTATTTAAAACTAATAGTTGAATTTAGAATTGCATATGTGCATGATTGTTATTAAAGAAAATGTGTAGTGTAGGTTCAAATAGAAACTAATGAAGTGAATTTAGATTATTTATCATACTCTTTGGAGAAAAGATATAGCAAATTTTGGGGGGGGCCTTGTATTAAAGCTAACATCTTTAGTTACTGTTTTAAAATGTGTGTGTGTGTATTTTGGTCTTATGGTGTGATAGTAAATGTACCCTGAAATGTACACATTAAAAAAGGAATCTCTCCCTTGGAGATAAAGAAGACAGCCACGTCGTGGTCTCCTGCTCTATCTTTGATCCATCTGCCCGAACGGAATCTGAGTAATCCATTCTGGTGGCTTTAATTTGTCCATCAATTAAGGCTCTCCTGGGAACACTGGCCACTCCAGCAGGCAACGAATGCAGAGGGGGTGGCTATCCTCTTGTCTTCCCTGAGAGTTCCATGGAGGAGGCTGACTCAAGTCCCTTGGTCAACCTCAGTCCAACACTCTCCACCTCCCCAAAAATCCAAGTCAGAGCTACAGTGGGATCCCCAGAGAGGAGCTTTGCTAAGGAAGGAGCCTGTTTTGTTGGTTGCATGCTTGGCTAATTTGCTGCTTTTGGTTATTTTGGGCTGCTGTTGTTATTGTTGGTGGTGGCTGTGGTACTGGTGTTGGTGATAGTGGTCATGGTGGAAGTGGTGGTAGTGGTTTTGCTTTGGTGGTACTGAGCCCAGGGCCTTTGCATAGAGTTGTATCTCAAGATCTTTTCTAAATTTTCCATTTTTATTTCTGAGGCAGGATCTCAGTTGTTCATGTTAACCTCAAACTTGCAGTCCTTCTGCCCCAGCCTAGGGGTGTTGGGATTATAAGCATGTGCTACCATGCCTGACTAAGAGACCCTCTCTTTACAGCAACTCATTTTGGGGGCTTAGAAAAGGGAATCTAAAGAAACTATCCTGGCTCAGCCTGGTCACTTCCTGCTTTATCCCAGCCCCCATTTCCTGAGGGCTTCTGACTCCCTACGAGCACCTGCAACAGGAGTGTATTCACCTGCACCAGGGGTAGGAGCGCCTGAACCAAGGGGTGTGTGCATCTGCACCCGGGGTGGGAACACCTGCACCAGAGATGGGAGCACAAACTGATGCAGGAGCAGGGAATGGTTACACCAAGGCAAGGATAAATATGAGTCACGAGCAGAACACCACAGGCTTCCTTTCCTCATGTA